TGTTTGTTACTCAATCATGCCAAAACGGCTGAGCAGATCTGGATGAAATTTGGTACAGAGATAAATTATAGTCTGGAATAGCATATGGACTACTTTTTATCCCAGAAAAATTTACGGTTCCCGTGGGAAAGATTTGTTTTTGTTGTTCAGTAATATAATATACATATAGTAAAGTCAGAGTACGGGGAGAATTATATAATTAAAATGAACTTAAACAAAGGCGATGTTTAATATAATAACTTAATTTGTATTTATATGTAATTGTGGTTTATGCAAGTTGATAATTACGAGCTCGTGTCACTGATAATAAACATTTTGTAGTTTTGCTTTAAAAAATAGCTATTTTTGATTTCAAAAATAGTATGTTTACCAATTTGCAACTTTGAATGAGATGAATTATGGAAGCAAGGTATTTCTTGTAAAAGAAAATCTGGTATTTATAATACATTCTGGTAAGCGAGAATTAGAACTCAAGGCAAATTATAAGCTTACACCATAGTATAAATAGGTGAAGTTTGTAAGTTTTTATGTATGTGGTAATCTCGTAAAATACTGATCGAATACTGAAAATTCTTTCTCTTATGGGAAGTTACATTACCGCATATTTCGATAAAAATATGTTTACTATCAGAATTCATAATAATTTTAATTGAAGTCAGCAAAAATGCATTGAACTGCTAATTACTTTGTTGGCTATCGTTAGACATCCAGGGACGCATCTGAGCGAAGCAAAGATGAGTCGCTATTGTGTAATAAAAATAGGTATAAATATGTATTAATGTGTGTATGTGTATATATGTGTGTTTGCCAACGAAATGTGTCATCAGTGATCACTGCAGATGTGCCATTTTATTTGTAATTACAAAATAATATACGAAATTTAAAATCTATAATAAATACTAGCGGACCCGACAGACGTTGTCCTGTCTACACGTCTTTAATTTGAAAATTTCAAACTTTTTTTAATAATTTTTTTGATGAAAATTATTATTCAAATTGTGAATCTAAACCATTCCCAGATCCCCTTGAACACACATAAAAAATTTCATCAAAATCGGTCCAGTCGTTTGAGAGAAGTTCAGTGACATACACACTCACAGAAGAATTATATATATAAAGATATAGTAATTTTTAACCCAGCTTATGCATAGATATATATATATATATATATATATATATATATATATATATATATATATATATATATATATATATATATATATATATATATATATATATATATATATATATATAGAGTTTGTTTAATTAAATACTTAGTTTCCGAATAAATTGTCTTAGGCATTAAGAACATTGGAGAGCTAGGTTAAAATAAATGGATAAAATAAATTTACTCAAAGTCGCAATTTTTTGTGTACCCATAGATGCACTATGCTTTTGCGTACTGCAGGATACCATCCTTTCTTGGTTGACATTCCGACCACTCGCACTAAGCGCTATTCGTCATCTTTTATAATACGCACAGCCAAGATGTGGAATGCGCTGCCAGTGTCTGTTTTTCCGAGTGCGTATAACCTGAACCTATTTAAGGTGCGTGTTAACAGGCTTCTCCTGGGCAAACTCGCTAGATCGTAGACCTTATCTGTGCCTTCGAGCTAAGATAAAGGTCAAGAGTGAGCCCATTTCTAATAAAAAAAAAATGCTTTTATAGAGGAAGTGAGAATAGAGAGTACAATTATGTTTTTACAGACACCTGTGCACTATAAAAATTTCCTGCAAAGCTGTTAACACGGTGGCCGAAAAATGTTACGATTAAATTACTTATAATTACCTCTGTAAAAATATCTAACTCGGGATCGAGATTATTTGAAATGGAAATTAATTTAATATAGTATATTTAGAATCAAAATAAATAAATAAATAGAACTACTCGTTACCAATAGAATAACGTTGGCTTACTATTACAAGGTACTATGTTAATTTTAATAAAGTTTAGTAATTTTTACATAGAACTTCGTTATTTTGTTATCGTAATAAAAATAACATAGAACTATGTAAAATTGAATATTTTGTAGTTATAGTGCCGCTATCTAGTGGTTTGTTTTTGCAAAATCGTAGCTAATGACACATAGAACCTTGCAGCATTAATAACTAAATAAGTACTAAAATTGTAACATAGAACCTTGTAATAGTGAGCCAACGGACTTGTTAACTTAAAAACAGTGTCTATACTTGTTGTTACGAAAATAAAATGTTTGTGAGACCTGAAATCTGTATTTGATAAAAAGCCTAAAATTTTCATGCAGTTCATTCGTTTCTTCTTTCCATTTTTGATGATGTTTGAATTAAAAGATAACTAATTGTACTTATGAATATGGGGTTTTTAATAGAAAATTCTACTTTCTCTTTGCGTTTGTCTCTTACGGTGTTAAGATTCACTGGTTTTTGGCCTTCAGAGAGTCTGAGAGGAGGGAAGTTGTTACTATATAATTGCTACGGTTTTATTTGTTTCATGTTTTTTTTGGGTAAGTACTTTTAAAATAATTCATTCTCATATTCTGTGATTTTAAGTGTCTATTTTTTTTACTTTTCAAAATTTTCACATAATTTTTATAACAAACTAGCATTTTCCGTAGCTCCGCCCGCGTTCAGATGACCAAAAACCAAATTCTTAGGTTTTACATATTAGTATACTCTTACATTGCAGTTTTTGTATTTTTTATCAAAAGTGAGATTACCCGCGGTAAAAAGTCCTATATGTTGACCCGGATAACCAGCTCACCATACCAAATTTCATTAAAATCCCTCCAGTGGTTTTTCTGTGATGCGGTAACAGACAGACAGACAGACAAAAATTCTAAAAATTATTTATTTCAATAAGATTTTCCAAAAAATATTGAATATACAGATTCGGCTTAGTTACAATTTTATTATATGTATAGATAATAATTGTAATATAATGCTATAAATTTTTATAGCCAGTTTAACATAGTTTGCACAAATTATGCCTTAATTGTCTCGTGAAACACATCTTTTTCTACAAATAGACGAATATTGGGCGGAAATATCATAATCGTTCATGCTGTACTATATTACTAATAAAAAAATTGACGTTTACAGGAATATTTATTATTACTGAGGTAATAGATTTATACCTCGTATGGGGAAATCTACCTCTAATGACGGGCACTGCGTTTGTTCTCTTTACGAACTTGGCTCAAGCCACTAAAATTATAAATATTCTATTACGAAGAAAGGCAATATTAAAAGTTATTGCTGACTGTGATAGAGCTTTAAAAGCTTATCAAAACATTGAAGGACAGGCTATTGTAGAGAGGTATATTATGTGACTACGTTATTTATATTTTAACGTATACTATAGATTTCTCAGAGATGACATATTTTTCCGCAGTAAAAAGTATCCCATATGTTGACCCGGATAACCAACTATCATCTTATCAAATTTCATCAAAATCTGTTGAGCGGTTTTCTCATGGTGCGTTTCCAGACGGACAGCAGACAGACAAACAGATAGACAGAAAGACAAAAATTCTAAGAAATATAGATTCAGCCTTCTGTATCGATAATAATGACTACATACTTCAATAAGATTTTCCAAAAAATTTTTTAATGTACCTATAAATTGGACTCAGAATTTTATTATATGTAGGTATAGATTAAATACCTAAATATTTACATAAATTAATAAAATACTTTCATAGATTTACCCAAATATTTGACAATTTAGATAAAACTATGTTTTTGGATTTTTTCGCAGATTTATTTTGATTTTTGTTTCCCGAAGTTTGTAAAGAAGCTTTCCCGAAGCTCTGTGAAGTATCCGAAAAAATCTTTTTATCTAACACTGGCGACTCACCCTCGTTTCGTTCGGATTTCTCCCTAGGTTGATTCCCCATATACACTTTGATCCCATTTTCACACCTTTAAGGGATGATTTCCGAGATAAAACTATTTTATGTCTTTCCCAGGGCCTCAAACTATCCTCTGACCAAATTTCATACAAATCGGTGCCGTAGTTTCGGAGCTTATTCGGTATAAATAAACAAACAAACAAAATATCTTTCCTCTTTATAATATTAGTATTATATATAACTTAATATATGAACACACTTTATTAAACTTATTTATGGTTTAGAAAGTGCTCATCGTTGTAGCGTGCGCCAGTGCTTGGATGAAATCTCACAATATCGATGAGATTACCCCTTGGGTTTAGTGGTGTGGATCTTTCATGGGTGGATTCGGATATTGTTCCCACATTCCTATCTGCTCGGTGAGCAGAAGCAGTTAGCTAAATGTATATTTTAACAAAAAACCTGGTGAGGACTGAACAACAGTTTTTGGGTTAGGATTATTTTGATCTATTTAGGGCTCCATTCGGACATCTAGAACTATTATGTATGATGTTATAATATGTTGTTGAAGTTGTAATCGTGAGACACGAAGTCAGCAGTTGTTTTTCTACATTTTGACTGTATTTACGTGCGCGGGATGGGCGGGCAGCGCAGAGAAGAATAAGTTGCCACTAAGAGCTTGGTAAGTTTTATTAATACCTATGTCAAAAAAACGCATGCACGCTTGACATTTAGAATTTATCAGTAACTAGCATTGCCCGCGGCTTCGACCGCGTTCAAATGACCGAAAACCAAATTCTTAGCTTTTAAATATATGTATTTTTTCTCATAAATGAGATATTTTCCCGCGGTAAAAAGTATCCTATATGTTGACCCGGATAACCAGCTATCACATACCAAATTTTATCAAAATCCCTCCAGTGGTTTTTCCGTAATGCGGTAACAGACAGACAGACAGACAAAAATTCTAAAAACTATAGATTCAGCCTCTGTATCGATAATAATGTCTATTTCAATAAGATCCTCCAAAAAATATTTAATGTACAGATTCGACTTAGTTACAATTTTATTATATGTATAGATTGTATATTGCCATAACTTATCATGTATCCTCAGGTAATGTCCCTATCTATCTATTTACTATAAGTTATTGTATATGGTAAATAAGATATGCAGATTAGGAGTTTCTGGGTTTCTAATCCCGAGTTAGGACAAAAGAATGGTAAGGTTACAAAATTCTCTGTAGCGGCACCGAGTTGTAATTTGGTGGTGCTCACATCGTGCCTTAGAGAACATGTGAAAGCTTTCGCTCTATGGTAAAGTTAACATTCTCTCTCTGATCAGACAATTAGAATTAGGGAGAACAGAAATCACATGCGTTTATGCACACAATATAATATAATAATAATAAATTTACAACCTAATGAATTACTAACACAGCCGCAGCAAAAGATAGCAAGGTGGAGCGAAAAGTCTCTGCATGGAAGACACCATAATGACTTGAGCCAGAATCACGTCGATAAGAAAGCATCGAACGAATGGTTAAGACAGGGCGTGCTCTTCCCAGAAACAGAGGCTTTTATGCTTGCTATACAGGATCAAGTAATTCCTACCCGCAATTACAGGAAGTACATTACAAAAGAAATAATACAAGAAACAGATACATTGTAATAGCGCAGCTGAAACGATACAACATATAACCGGAGCCTGTAAAGTTTTAGTTCAAACTGATTATAGACATAGACATGATCAAGTAGCATCTATCTTACATCAGCATATAGCACATACATTTAAATTTATACCCAGTAAAGTACCTTACTACAAATATAAACCAAATACAGTATATGAAAACAGCCACTATAAGTTATACTGGGACCGTACTATCCTCACAGACAAAACAATTCATTATAATAGGCCAGATATTACGTTTCATAATAAGCATACGGATACCGTTTATATTATCGATATAGCTGTCCCAAATACTCATAATATCCAATCGACCATAAATGAAAAAATCTCCAAATATCAGGAATTAGCAATAGAAATAAAAACTCAATGGAAAGTGAAGACCGTTCATATAGTACCAATAGTCATATCTACTACAGGAATAATACCTAAATCTTTACAAAACAGCTTAAATATTTTAAACATCCCCAAAACCACTATAAATACAATGCAGAAAGCTATTATTCTCAATACATGCCGTATCACACGTAAATTCTTATCTAGCTCATCAACTCATTCTATCACCACTATACTTGGTTGAAGCCCGTATAATGGTAATAAAACCTTCTGTTAGAAGAGAGAATATTAAATATATATAAACAATAATAATAATATCTATCACGATCCACGTATGTAAGTTTCTAATACTTTCTAGTATATTTACAATAAAGAAAATTACAAATATACTTAATTATATATACAAAACAAATGTACACTCAGTTATTACTGTACAAGTCATGTCCGCGTCGAATATTGGCAAGAATGCTAGCCGCATTCCCCCGCTGAATGGCAACGCCGATTCTTTGAGCGAAAAATGCGCCAGCCCTCCTGTCACCAGTAGAGGCGATAAGACGAGGTGCTATGTTTATCTTAGTTCTATATACGAGTTATTTTACAGCAATATTTTTCCAGGTATCCATATGATACTAGCAATCATCCGGCGTACGAAATAACGTACATACAACAAGTGTCCGCCATATTATTCGCTGCACTTCTGAACGTGAGCAAGGATACCCTGGTAACTACGCTTATAGCACAGTGCAGATGCAGTTTGCGTTTAGTAGGGTTTTCCCTAAGAAACATACACTGTGAACGAAATTTTATTTCAGTAAGTACTCATTTTATTAGCTCTGTAATGACTAAATTATACTTTAAATTTCAAGAAAAATTCCATCTCTTAGAGGAAAATTTCATTTAAAAAGATTTCGAAGTCTTTACCTTTTAGTTAATTAAAAAGCACCTTCTTGCTTGTACGATCTTTGCTTATCGCTACTTTTAGGTATGTTTTAAGAGTTCTTTATTTAGCTTTAAACAAGTATAATATTTAACACAGTGAGAAATAAAATTTGGAACATTGATTAGATGAAAGCGTCATCTGCCCTGTCTTTGGTGTACTTTGGTTTACGCTTTCAATTGGTGTATTTCAACCGACGCTGTAATAATAAGTTATTTGATGTAAACCATAGATGGCGGTATTTTCTTGTTTTTCGTTATATTAATTTAACTCCTATCTAATATTATTAAATTCGTAAATCTTCAATTAATTTGTTTTACACTCAATAATATCTAAAAAGGAAAGAAATTTAGTAGGTTGTAAAAATTGTCTAAAATACAATTATTAAATGTAGTTTTTGAACATGACCTACTTACTGTATGTACATTTTATTATTGTTTGTTCCTTGATAAAAATGAAAAAAAAAATTAACTAGCGACTCACCCTCGCTTCCCTATACAAACTTTCACCCCCATTTTCACCCCCTTAAGGGATGATTTCCGGGATAAAAACTATCCTATGTCCTTACCAGGGTCTCAAACTATCTTCTTACCAAATTTCATCTAAATCGGTACTGTAGTTTAAAGCCTATTCGATACAAACAAACAACATTTTTTTTCCTTATTATAATATTACAATAGACTAACATTAATTATTTCTATATTTCTCACATTTTGTAGGAATCAACAACTGATAGAGTTTCCCTTATGCGACCTTCTACAACATTATTTCTAACGCGTGCCCAAGAAACGGAAGTCCAGAAACGTCTTAGAGATTGTGTGATCCAGCATCAGAACACCCTGGAGACAGCTTTCTTATTGCAAAACACCTTTTCTGAGCCGATCTTTGCCCAGTTCAATGTATCACTTGTCATTATATGCGCTACTGCTTTCCAACTTGTATCGGTACGTTTAAATTATATATATGTATATATATATAAAATTTCCATGTCACAATGTTAGTTACTCCTCTATTGTCAACCGATTTATTTTTTTTGGTAAGTAGCTATTGACTAGCTTTAATGTTAACATAAAAAAAATTGGAAACACTATTTTTTTAAATCGGTATATATTTTTTTTATTAATGAATAATTAATATGTATTATCCATAAAAACTTACTACAATATACAAACATCGATACATAATATATTCGTGCGGAATCTCTTGTGGAGAGTATAAAACTACAGAGCACTGAAAATCCCAAAAAAAAATATTTCAACTTTATTTAATATTCCATGTTGAAAATGAATTACGTTTTGTTATTCAATAGTAACGGCAACGGTAATGGTAACGGTAATGGTAACAGATTGATTTCATATAGTTATTAAATTTCAGCAAACTGGTAACTTTGTCCGCCTGATGTCAATGGGCACTTATTTGTTCAACATGATATACCAAGTGTTCATATATTGCTATCAAGGCAACCAGTTCTCGTCTGAGGTCAGTCATTGATTATGTATTTATCTATACTAATATTATAAAGAGGTAAAGTTTGTGAGTTTGTGGATTTGTGAGTTTGTGACGTTGTAGGGGGTAATCTTTGGATCTACTGAACCGATTAAGATGAAAATTGGTAAGAAGATTGAGATCCTGGGAAGGACATAGGACACTTTTTATCCCGAAAATCATCCCTTAAGGCGGTGAAAATGGGGATGAAATTTTGTATGGGGAATCAAGATAGGGACAAACCCGAGCGAAGCGAGGGTGAGTCGCTAGTCTATATATAAATAGGCAAAACAAAACAGATCACTTCGCTGGTTTTCTTTTCTTTTGCTTAGTAGCTATTGACTAGCTTTGGTTATCAATAAAAAAAATTGGACATAGTTTTTTATATAGATAGTTAAATTCTGTTCATATAATATGTATGTTTGTAGACAACTAGGTGTACAGTATAGTACTGATTAATATATAAAGCTGACATTTGAAATTGTAAGAAATATAAAGTTGGAGCCATTTTAATGATGCCATAGATTTAAATCAAGGCGAATTGTTGTGAGTAGCTTTCCTTTGATAAAGCAATCACATCAACTATCACACATCAACTATAGGAACAAAAATAACATCAGTCGTAAACTGTGCTGAACTGGCACTTTTTATAGCCATTAACAAGAAAATTGAATTGAATTCAATATCGTTCTTTTACTTATATGTATATTATCACATTTTTATTCAGAGTGAGGAGGTAGCCAAAGCAGCATATGATATGCCCTGGTACTCCTGCAGCGTGCGCACGCGCAGGTCTATACTGATAGTAATGGTTCGATGCCGTCGCGTTGCTAAGCTTACTGCTGGTGGCTTCACTACACTTTCTTTAACTACTTTTATGGCAGTAAGATCTTAATAACAATATTTTTAACTGACTTCCAAAAAGAGGAGGTTCTATGTTCGTCTGTCTGTTTTTTAATATAAGTAATAAAAAGTTTAAACATCAATCAAATTAACTTTTTGCATCGGGATCAAAGCCAACCTTGACATCGTATGTAAGGAAAGTTTAGAATAAACAGTTTTCGTTAAATATTTTTTGCTTTAATAAAATACTTTATTTAATATAGAATGTGACAATACTCGTATAATATGTAATACTTATCTAAAACACACAAAATCTTTCCTTTTACGAGCTTCATTTGAATGGTTGCAAATTATTTGTATACTACGCCCACGAAATCGCTGGATTATAAGTAGCTTGTATGCTAAAACTAATCGATTTTAAACCCCCGACGCAAAAACGACGGGTGTTATAAGTTTTACGTGTCTGTGTGTGTGTGTGTGTGTGTCTGACTGTGGTATCGTAGCTCCCGAACGGATGAACCGATTTTGATTTGCTTTTTTTGTTTGAAAGGTGAATTAGTCGGGAGTGTTCTTAGCTATGTTTGATAAAAATCGGTCCAAGATGGTCGGGGATTTTTTAATCTTTTATGAAAGTATACAAGTTATAGTAAACAGAGTGAAATGGAAAATATAGTATTATGTTAAAAAATTTTGCAATACATGTTGTTGTAAAGGTGTTTCACTCAATACTAACTCTGTTGAGTGTAACACATTTGTCTAGAATATGGTATATAGAAAATTAATTATAAAAAATATTTTCAGATAATAAAAACTTCATATTCATTGTTTACGCTTCTACAACAAGTTACAAAGTGAAAATAAATATGTAAATAAATATAAATATGTCGGGGCACATAAACACACAGCACCATCTAGTTCTATTGTAAGCTACGAGGCTTGTGTTATGGATACCAGATAGTTGATACACTACACATATATAACTTTAAATACATACATATTATAAATATATTATATTATTAAGCACCCATGAATGGAGAACAAAAAAATCGTACTCATCACTCAAATTAATGCGGGACTCGAACCCGCGACCGCTGGCACACCAAGTAGGGTCACTACAAATTGAGCCGAACTTTCTGACAAAATAAAGAAAAAACTGTAGTTAATAATAAATAACGTTAAATATTCAACAATGAGAATAATAAAATGTATTTCTTGTTGATACTGATGTTTTATTTATCCTTCCTCACCTCGTAGGTTAGGTCTCAATTTTTTTTAATATGATCACAGGGTACTTAAAGGGATTTGCTTATAACTGTATTAAAATTATCTACGTCGATACATAATGCTATCAAATATATTTTTTTTATTTAATAATCTGTAAATATACGTATAAGTTTTTATATACCAAGTTTTCTGTTAAGATCTTGTCTTACGATGGATTGCTCCAGCTATTATTACTTCTAAAATTTTTATTCAAAAACTTTGGATGTCTGATATCATTTGGATGGATGTATAATAGATTGGGTCCACGAACTACCATCTCATTTGTTACAGGAATCGCTTACTCAGATCTTGCAAGACTTAACCTTTTCGCATTCCTCCATGGATTAACACAAATGCTGATGATAAAGAAGTAGAGCACACGTAAAATCTAAAGACAACCCAACTGATTGTCAATCAAGGGGTGTCAAAAATTATGACAATTTAAGCTTGTGGAGACATGGTCCATCTTGGCTAAGTGAAGTAACTATCAACTACAGTCTACAAGAAGAAGGCCAAGATACCAAACTGGAAGAAAAAGATAAAATACTTTGTCATACTGTAGATAGTGTTAAATTAGTTGAAGAATTATTTACAAGATTCTCAACGCTTCAAAAACTAATTAAAACTGTGGCTTATTTGAGACGTTATTTCAAATGGCTACGTTATTCTCGTAAAACTGTTTTTTTCTACTTATAGAACAAATTCAGAGTTGAAGGAGGCGTTAGAAAAATGTATAAGTTACTTTCAGAAGGAGTTCTTTGTTTGTGACAATGAATGTATTATTAAAATTAAATAAGTAGCTCTTCTTAAAAAGCAAACTTGTATCTCTTAATTAGTTTTTAGATAACAATGGTTATTTACTTTTTATTTTTGTCAAATGACTTTCAGGCAACGGCACTACTTGGCATCGTATCCCACACTATACTCCATACTGTGGTGGATTATGGAAGGCAGGAATTAAATCGACGAAGCACCACCTGAAGAGAGCGATTGGGAACTCAAGTCTGTCGTTCGAGGAGACGAGTAGAGTTCTTTCCCAAATAGAGGCTTGCCTTAATTCAAGGCCATTGACAACTTTAAGTGATGACGCACAGGATACATATTCATTGACACCAGGACCTTTTCTTGTGGGAGAACCTCTCCTACTTGTTCCAGATGCCAACTACGAGAAGTCAACCATTGTTACTCTCCAAAGACGGCAGTATGTACAATGAATGACCCAGTACTTTTGGCAACGGTGGTCTAATGAGTATTTATATCAGTTTCTACACTGTTATCGTTGGAATAGTCTCTCTCCCTAGAGAAATTGGAGATGTAGCCTTAGTTAAAAATATCATGGAAGACAATCTTCCACCAGCCAAATGGTTTTACGACAAAATTGTTGACAAATATACTGGTCAGAATAATGTTACGCGTGTTGTAAGTTTAAAATGCGAATGCATTATCAACAAAAGACCTATTTCTAAAATTTGTATTTTACCAGTTAATAATTAAGTTGAGAAGCTAAAATAATGTGTAATGTTAGTTTTAAGGTTTGTTTCGTTTAAGTTTTGTTAAAGGTTTGTTTTGTTTAAGTTGAGTTTTAATACAGAAGTTCAAATTCTTTAACTATAAGTTATGTTTATATAATTGTTTGCACTTCATCCACAATGGATTAGACTTTGTCAAATTGTTAGGTTATATTAATTTCTTATGAATCATTTGGACCATAGTGGGCGGAATCTATAATCTATGTTGTCATTTGTGTGGTTAACATTTGTTACTAATAGATGGGATCATGTGTCAGTTAAATCACGCTATTTGTTTGGTTATTTCTGATTAACTAAGTTAAAATGTGTGCATGTATTTGTACTCTTGAAATATATATACAGTATCACGATCCAGATCACTGGTTGTTTTATCGTGACACCAGAAGGAGACGAAGTGTCTCCTGAAGCTAGAAGTGGATGGTACAATAGGTTAGTTCGATAAAATAGTGACTGTGTATTTTACTGTATTTTTAGTTGGTTCGATTACCGGTTCAGGTAAGTTTTTTAAATAAAATTTAAGTTCAGTAATTATATTTTTTTAAATAAAGGAATGCTCCATTTGAGTAAAACTTGCTACCTTCAATATTTAAGGCACTTTTCGTCAATGACCCATCTATTTCTTCCAGCCTGTATAATATAAGATTAATAATATAATATGGATAAAGTAAAGTCAGAGTAAAACTATATGCAAAATTTCACCAAGAATATAATGAAAGTGAACTAATACAATAGGTGATGTTTAAAATACTAACATAATTTGTACTTATGTGTAGTGTTTTGTGCAAGTTGATAATTGTAAGCAATTGTTACGGGGCTTACAAACATTTTTAGTTTTTGTTCAAAAATTGTATATTTACCAATTTGGAATTTATATTTTATGTTAGTAGTAATTACTTTGCATTGAAAATATCAATAATTATTATTTAAAAATTATAATTTAGTAAAAACTACAATCACAAATGAAAAAAAAACAAATAATGAAATATTTTTTATTAAATTCCCATATTTATATATTGACTCATTGATAGTAAAAGTTCGTTTAATGGCTTGAAATAAAAAAAAAACTATAAGGGTTTCCAAAATGGCTAAATGTTTTGTACATCTGGATTTGTACTTAATTCGCAAGATGCTATTTTGTTCAATTTAAGCCTAATAATTTTTGTATATTTAATTATATTATTCGTTATTGTATTATATATATATATATATATATATATATATTAAAGGAAGACATTAAGGAAGACTTAACTTAATTTTATATTTCCTTTTTTTTTTAGTAAATAACTTATAAAAGATACTTAGATATGAGGTTATTAGTAAAAAATACGAATCTTACAATACGTGTATCTCTCACGGTGCTGAGACTTACTGGTTTCTGGCCTCCAAATGATTTCGAAGGGTGGAAATTGGCTGTTTTCTATTGTTATGGTTTTTTATGGTTTATGTTTCTATTAGGTAAGTGATTGTACATATTATTTGTTTAATTTAAAAAGATAATAATACTTAATAATTCTGGTATATATATATAAAAAATTCTAATGAAAATTTTGCATTTCTAGGAGTATTTATTTTTACTGAGCTAGGTGACTTATACCTTGTATGGGGAAATCTGCCTTTAATGACGGCTACCACGTTCCTTCTCTTTACGAACATTGCTCACGCTCTAAAGTTCATAAGTCTTATAGCAAGAAGAAAATCTATATTAAACATGATTACTACATCAGATAAGTCTTTAAGGGCAGAAAAAAGTATCGAAGGACGAAATATTATAAACAGGTAGGTCACAATCAGTTAATGTATGTACTCAGCCCTTTTTAACGTCCCACTGCTGAGCTCAGGCCTCCTTTCTATTTGAGGGGGAGATCAGACCATAGTCCACCACGCTGGCCAAGTGCGGGTTAGCGGACTTTACATATCTTCTGAAAATTTGCTAGTTTTTCTCAGACATTCAGGTTTCCTCACGATCTTTTTAATCATATTTATACAAACAACTCAAAATTTGTGAAAAAATGGCAAAAAAATGTCATTTGTCGCTGCTTTTGTATAGGTTTTACAGTAGGTAGATATTTGCCAATTTTGCGGGAGGGTTGCATTCTTGTATAAAGGAGGCTTCACTCAGCCATGCTTGAAGGGCAAGGCACAAACGGTGTTAAGATTTTTTTACTTATACATAATTATTAACAAAACAAAACATTTTCTGTTTAGAATCTTTATTTCTCATTAAGAATAACAAATTCACTTACATTAAATATTATAACATTTACTAAATGCGAGTACGTACAAGTTACACTTGTGAGAAATACATAGTATGCGGGTAATCCTTAAAAATAATATTTAAAACTACAAACAAGTTAACAATACAGTTAGAGCAAAGCGCTAAGAATAAAGAAATCATGGAAATGGCAAAGACCAGATTTTACTTTAAGTTTTTTAAGATATAATATTTTAGCATTTTTTTACGTGTTGTAAATGTTTTTGAGTCCTTTATATCTGTTGGTAATTTATTATATAACTTTGCTCTTATTCTGCATTCTTTTATTGTGCATTCTTTGTCGGAATTACAGTTTTAAGCTTATAAAGAGATTCATCTCAATTTATGACTACCTACTATTATAAATGCGAAAGTTTGTTGTGTGTTTTGTACTCCTTCATGCCGAAACGGCAAGAGAGATTTTGATGAAATTTACTATATTAGATATAGACCTGAGTAGCAAATAGGCTATAATTTGCCCAACGGTGTTGCTTGTTATAATATTACAAATACAGGTTGATTAAAAAAGTGAGGTTAAGTCCCTAATTATAATACAAATATTATTAATTTTATTGCAAGCTGCGATCGCGAAACATGCCAGCACCTCATCATATATTTGTTACTGACTTTCGTGGCGGCGGTTGGTTTCGCAGCCAGCTCAGAGAAAAACATGCTTCCTTTCCGAGCATGGTAAGTTTATTAATGTTTTTTTTTTAATTTCTGGACATAATAGCAATAACAGATAAAAACGATTATAATTGCCAAAGTTAATAAACTTAACAATTTTTTATTATTATTTTATGTATACTAGCATTGCCTGTGGCTCCGCCCGCGTTCAGATGACCAAAAACCAAATTCTTAGGTTTTACATATTAGTATATTCTTACATTGCAGTTTTTGTATTTTTCTCAGAAATGAGATATTTTCCAGCAGTAAAAAGTATCCTATATGTTGACCCGGATAACCAGCTATCATCATACTAAATTTCATCAAATTCCCTCCAGTGGTTTTCCCGAGATGCGGTAACTGACAGACAGACATGAAATTAATAAATGGAATAAAATCCTAATTATTCTATTCTATGCCGAAGGAAATGCACATTTGTCTATAATGTTCTACTGACCGATGAGACTCTATTTCTGTCGCTACAAAGTCCGGTGGGCCAATTTAACATGACTTTGAAAGATCCGGTGGAGGAACAGCAGCTTTACGTGCTCTCGCGGGGGTAAAACACCGCCAACCAAATATTACGTATCTACGCAGGGCCGAATTAACCATGCCGGGGGCCCCTAGGCAACGCAATTCTCGAGGCCCCTTCATCTTTTTCTAACTTATTGATAGAACATTTTTTCTATCACAATGCAATTATATTCGTAATTACGCTATTAGGTAGATTTCATAGAAATTTTCAAAAATAAAAAAATGGGCAATCGCCTAAGTTGCCTTATGGATAATCCGGCCCTGTATCTACGTTACTACTACGTTGTATGAACATGATATGAGGACTCGAGGAGTTCCTGGTTGCCTTATGTAAGTTTTCAGTATAATAGTAACCAACCAATAAGTCATTTTTTCTTCTTCAGGTATCCATATGACACAAAAAAGTCTCCAGCATATGAACTCACATATATACACCAAGTGTTCGCGGTAAGCTTAGCTGCGTTATTGAACATAAGCAAGGATAGCCTGGTGACTTCACTTATAGCACAATGTAGGTGTCGTTTGCGCTTAGTAGGTCTTTCCTTGAGAAATCTATGCAAAGACCAACATTTTGCTGAGGTACGTCTGTTTTAAACCTTTGGTGTGTGACGAATGAATGGCATAATGAAAAAGCTTCATTTATTTCTTTCTTAGTAAAAGTTATATAGATAGTTATAATAATAACAGTTAAAATTAAATAAATAGTAAAAATGTTTAAATTAAAATTAAAAAATATTGTACGATACTTTGGAGATATTTTTGTTTTTTTTTTTAATTTATTCTGTTATTTTTTGGGTAGGCTGTCTGTAATAACTATATAATGCCTTTGGGACGTCTAAAACCTTAGTCTCTCCCGTGACCATGATTGCTGTAAAGCATTCGAAACGTCGGAAACCAAAAATCATAATAAATCCGAAAAGATAGTTTTATTTAAAATGGACTAATTAGTTTTATTTTACTTTACATTTCCTTTACATGACGTTGTATGTTCTTAATGTTAGCAATAGGATAGAGGGATAGCAATTTTTCTAAGTCTACATTTTACAAAAATTATATGACATAATACAATAGATTATAATAGAAAATAAACAAATTAACATACAAGGATACAAGGAACCTTCTGTTGTATACTTATGTCTTTGGTGTAGGTATTAAAAAATAATTGTGAATTATATTGGCAACACTATGTTAAATAAAAAAATAGAGTATGGTCATAGATTATAGTCACCTCTTTTGGACGCTCGAGTTTCATTGTCAAAAACTCGAAGTAAATAACTTAAAAATTGTAATTATTTTTTGCATATATAGAAACATACACCTGACTCAATTTCCTTCAAGCCGTCGTCCAAAACCTTGCAAGTTACGGCTACTCAGGAGAAAATAGTCGAGAAACGTCTGAAAGTCTACGTGATGCAGCACCAACAGGTCTTGGAGACAGTTGAGCTGCTGCAGAACACATTTTCGGAGCCGATCTTCATTCAGTTTAACGTATCGCGTTTGATTATATGCGTGTCTGCGTTTCAACTGGTGTCTGTATGTCCAAAAATATGTTTATTAAGTGTTTGATTTATTTTCTATTCTATTAAGAATTTGTACACACAGCTGCAATTGCTGCTATTGCAATTGATCTTTGCTAACTCTTTTATTAAAATTGCTTCTTTAGCGACATGATAGTGATAAATCTCATCCAAATCTGTCCAACGGTTTCTGCATAAAGGACTAACAAACATACACACACATATTTATAAAAATAAGACGATTAATAATACTATATAATATAACTTAATAAAAGAGTTTTTCCCTTGGAAAATCAACTGATTGTCTTAGAGATTAGTGAGCTTAATTAAACAAACAAACATTTCCACTTTATGTATAGATAAAAAATAATCTATAATGGGTACACTTAATTATAACTAACCGACTTCCAAAAAGGAGAACGTTCTATGTTCGTCTGTATATATGTTTTTTTATGTATGTTCACCGATTTCTCGGAGACGTCTCGACCAATTTTGCTACTTTAAATGGTATTGTATTAAGGTAAATTGCCACCGATTTCGAAAATATCTGACTGAAATGAAAATGTTCAGTAATTTTTTTCCCTTTTTAGTGCCTGGAAGTCGGTTTTTATTTTTTTGTAATTTTTTTTATTACAGTACAAGTCATGACTATTTGAAACCAACAAATAATAGATGGTTCAAGTACAATGCTTTTAGAGAATTTACTCATAAATATTTTAAAATTACAATATTAAAATTGTATGTATAATTTTTTTGTTATTTTCAGGAAACTACTAACCTTATTCGTTTGTTGTCATTGGGCACTTATCTGACAAATATGTTATTTCAAGTTTTTACGTATTGCTATCAAGGCGACATGCTCTCGTCTGAAGTAAGTGAAGCAAAAACATCATAGTAGGTACCTACCTGTTATATACTCACGACTTATTTACTTTTAATTTTAGTTTAGTTTGATAGAACAGAATTTAATATTAAATTTATTTCCCTTAGCATTAAAAGCTTTTATTATAATAAAGTACCTGAATAACTGAGCTTCGCGAATGTAGGCGCTCGTTCAGTATATTACCATCCTTGGCGACAATGCAAATGACATTGTCAACATGAGAACAGATAGAAATAGTTATAATTAGTGTTTAGAAAATAGAATATTTGTACTATGAATAATGGCAGTGGTAGCCCAGTGGTAACGCGTTCGCTTGGGAAATCGAATGAAGCGGGTTCAAATCCCCGGTCTCGCACCTCTGATATTTTCATATTATGCGAATCATTTCCGACATGAATACGACTTATCTTAGGTTGAATGAAAAAATCGTGAGGAAACCTGAATATCTAAGAGAACCTAGCAAGTTTTCGAAAGACATAAGTAATCCGTCTACCGCATTTAGCCAGCGTGGTGGACTATGGCCTGATCCCCTGGCAATTCATGGAAGGCCTGTGCCCAGCACTATGACGTTAAATAAGGGCTGAATACACACTATGAATGATGTCGCAATATTTATATTTCTCTGTTCAGAGTGTAGAAGTCGCTGAAGCAGCATATGATATGCCGTGGTACTCATGCAGCATGCGCGTGCGCTCATCTATACAGATAATAATGGTGCGATGCCACCGCATTGCTAAGATAACAGTTGGCGGCTTAACAGTTCTCTCGTTGGATTCCCTTACTGCAGTAAGATTTATGTGAGAATATTTAATTCGATTCCTTCCTTGAATCGAAGATAGATTTTATTATATATTTAATACTTTCTTAGATTTACGCGAATATTTGACATTTTAAATAAAACTAGCTTTCCGGATTATTTCGCGGATTTATTTTGATATTTGTTTCTGAATACTTTGCAGCAAATATGGTCACGGCAGAGACTAAGGTTACACCTATACCTTAGTCATAATACATCATTCGAAACGTCGGGAACCAAAAATCAAAATAAATCCGCGAAATTATCCGAAAATATAGTTTTATTTAAAAATATTATATATTTTCTATCTTTGATGCGTCCCTACACACATAGCGTTATTACAGTTTAATAAGGAGACCTTTTTAAGAGCAATAATTCTATAATACATACATTGTTTTCATATAACTTTGTTAGTTTACGCGGCACACGCATATAAAGCCCCCAGTCGGTATGATTTTTTCCGACATTTTCAACAATCATCATCATATTTAAGCCAATTTACAAAATCTTAATGAATCATATACATCTAAACCTTCCTCATGAATCACTCCATCTATTTGTGAAAACCGTATTAAAATCCGTTCGGTAACATTTAAGCTTATTGCGTTCAGACAGACAGACAGACAACTGACGGCTCCGCTAGTGTTATGTAATTAATACGTGTTTTTACATTTTTTTGCAGATAATAAAAACTTCATATTCACTATTTACTCTTCTTCAACAAGTGACAGAGTGAAGTAAATAAAAAAAATACATATCTGAAGGCATATTTCCACAGCAGCAACAAAGAGCAATATTGTAACGCAGTATTTAGATAATTTACAAAATAAAAATTTATAATTACTAGAACACTGAGCTACAATGTTGCTATTACTATTATTAACATATTACATACTAGCTACTCACTCTCGCTTCGCTCGGGTTCGTCCCTAGGTTGATTCCCCATACAAAGTTTCATCCCCATTTTCACCCCCTTAAGGGATGATTTCCGAGATAAAAATTTTTATGTCCTTCCCACCCTGGGAACCCTCAAACTATCCTCTTACCAAATTTCATCTAAATCGATTCAGTAGATCCAGAGATTATCCCCTACAACGTCACAAACTCACAATTTACAAACTTTACCTCTTTATAATATTAGTATAGAATACGCATCTAATTATGTATTATTATATATTTAAAAAATAGGCCCTATATATTATTTTGATATATTACTGCAAAGTTTCATTAAAATCCGTTTAGTAGTTTTTGCGTTAAAGAGTAACAAACATCAAGACATCTATCCTTCCTCACAACTTACGCGTTTGTATTATTAGTAGGGTTAGGATAGGTTAGCGAATTGAGCAGTCGTGTTACATAAAAGCTTATACAAAATAGTACAAAGCAAACCTCGTAGACTAAAATGAAATCATGCACAAGTAGAAACTAAAGTAAAGATTTCTAATATGAGAGTTAAAAATGAGTGCATTGTAGAAAATTGTTTGCAAAAATATTGTCAAATGTGGTATTTAAAGTATCTTTATTGTATTAATATGGATAAAAATAAATAACTTAAAAATAAAATGGGTTGTTTTTTTATTTATAAAACAGCGTATGCACACACTTCATTTATATCTAGTTACTCCACTTCTAGACGTAGACGTTGTAACGTGATATTGGATGACCTGTAGTGTTCCTCAATAAATCTATGCATATAATAAAATTGTAACTAAGTCGAATCTGTACATTAAATATTTTTTGGAAAATCTAATTGAAATAGACATTATTATCGATACAGAGTCCGAATCTATAGTTTTTAGAATTTTTGTCTTTCTGTCTGTCTGTTACCGCATCACCACTGGACAGATTTTGATGAAATTTGGGTATGATGATAGCTGATTATCCGGGTCAACATATAGGATACTTTTTACCGCGGGAAAATATCTCACTTCTGAGAAAATATACAAAAACTTCATTGTAAGAGTATACTAATATGTAAAGCCTAAGAATTTGGTTTTTGGTCATCTGAACGCGGGCGGAGCCGCGGCCAATGCTAGTAAGCTATAAAGTTCTAGAAATTAGCACCTTTATTCGAGCAGAATTCTTCTTCATTTAATGTCAGTTAATAAATAAATGGTCGATAAATCGCATGAGGTACTTGAGAAAAAAGAAGCTTACTTATTAATAAGATATGTACAGATGTGCTAAATATTTTTATTTTGTACTGATAATATAGAAAATCATTAAAAAACATATACTATACAAAAATTGTGTTATTATAGCAAGCGAAATATGTTAAATATAGTATATATCTATGGTACAGTACCTTTGTTGTTGCACTTATTTAATTTATTTTTAGAAGATAAATAATTATCTTATTGGTATAGTGGATGTGAGTCAGTAGATTAAGAGGTCTGTGGTTCTAATTCTGGGTCGGGGCAAGTAATATTTTTATTGACGTTTCGGGTTAAGAAATTCTCTGTAGTTGGGAAGTTGTTGACGTTACATCCTCTTGCCTCGAAAAGCCACGGAATGTGGTTTTTGCGTCAGATCAAAACATATAGGATACTTTTTACCGCAAGAAAATGTCTCATTTCTTAGAAATAATACAAAAACTACAGTGTAAGAATATGCTAATATGTAAAACCTAAGAATTTGGTTTTTGGTCATCTGAACGCGGGCGGAGCCGCGGGCAATGCTAGTATTAATAAATATAATATTAGTCAGTACGTATAAGATACGTTACAAGAAGAAATTATGTATACAGATAATTACTCAATGATTTAATCAAAAAGTTTGTAACAACTGCATAAAATGTTGATAATTGTCGGCTTGCTTTACTTGAAAATTTACACCTAAATGATAAGTTATTAGTTTAAATATAACTTGCGTTTTAATTCAATAATTTTTTATTCCTACTGTAATTATAGTTTCCACTCGTAACTAAAAATTATGTACTCGTACTTATTGAATAAATATGAATATTTGCTCGATATTATAGTCTAAATATCCATGAATTTTTTAGACTGTTTATTTGTGGAAGCTAAACCCATCTGTTTTGACGCTTTCTTCTGTTTTATGTATCTATTATATATTGTGATAGATGTGAATTAAAAGGTTTTCGATCGTTTCGGCATCTCTTCGAATGGTTTATATTCTATACATATTATAATAAAATTCTTATTGAGTCCCTATGTACATTAAAGATTTTTTGGATTTTTTTTGGAAAATCATTTTAAATAGTCATTATTGATACAGAGGCCGAATCTATAGTTTTTAGAATTTTTGTCTGTCTATCTGAGAATGAGTCACGAGAAAACCATTGGACAGATTTTGATGAAATTTCGTATGATGGTAGCTGGTTATCCTGGCCAACAATATTTACTGCAGGAAAATATCTCATTTCCGAGAAATCTATACTAACCGTTAAAACGTATCAAGAGACGAAGATGAGCAGAGCGAGGGTGAGTCGCTAGTTTTTCTATAAAATCAATAAAAGACACAATTATTTAGACTTATTATCTTTTATTTTAATAAAAATTGCTAATTTTAATACATTATAATTTGTGCAAATATGATATATAGATATTATTTGACAATTTAATCTTAATTTTGTTAGAAAGTTTGAAGTTAGTTCTACTACAACTTCGAAATAGATTTTATTTTCCAGTCTCGTTGGTCAAAGATGGTTCGGATGTTCGGTTAAAGATAGTAAGGCCCAAGATTTGAATCTTGGATTGGGCAAAATAATTACTGAGTAATGTTCATTATACACATGAGTGTTATTGGTATTGATAGTGCCTTTGTGCCTGCGCATACGCAATGCAACGTAGATGCGTACGTCTCACGCCTTTGGCTAAGCTCAGTGAGATTGGCCACTATAGCCGAAACCGGCTATATTCTGGAGGAGAACTTTATAATAGATTGGATTTATTTCAGTCATTGGACTTTTAACTCATTATTTTCTGTAAGTTTAAATTAAAAGTGTTAACTTTTACTTCGATTCCGTAACTTGTTGAAGAATTGTAAAAAATGAATATGATGTTTTAATTATCTGAAAGAAAATAATTTTGTTTCATTATAATATTGTTTATAGTTGACTCTAGAAAAAGTGATCAGTTTTGTAAATATAATGTACTAGCGACTATCCCTCGCTTTCCTCGGAATCGTTCCTAGTGTAAAACAAAAACAAATTATAACGGGAACCATACATTTTCTTGGGATAAAACGTAATGTGTGTGATATTCTAGACTGTAATCTATCTCCGAGCCAAATTTTATCCAGATCCGTTCAGCTATTTTGGCTTGATTGAGTAACAAACATTCATCCATCCAAACTTTCGGATTTATAATATCAATAAGATTGCTGTAAAGCACTCGAAACGTCGGGAACTAAAAATTGAAATAAATTCGGGAAAAATCCGAAAAGATAGTTATATTTAAAATGGTTAGGGCTTATCATATAATCATTTTATTACATGAGCTTAGTATATAACATAGGTATATAATAAAAATCTTACTCCTGTGAAAGAATTTAAGGAGAGTGTAGTGAAGCCACCAGCGGTCAGCTTAGTGACGCGGTGGCATCGAGTCATTACTATGAGTACGAATTTGCGTATGCGCACACTATAAGCATACCACGGTATATCATATGCTGCCATAGCTACCTCTTCACTCTGTAAAAGAAATAATATTTATATAAAAAAATATTTCTCACAGAAATGCTTCTAGATATGTATTGTATATAATTATTATATCATTCAGCCCTTTTTAACGTCTCATTGCTAGTCACGGGCCTCCCCTCAATGCAAGGGGGATTAGGCCATAGCACCACGCTGGCCAAGTGCGGGTTGGCGGACTTCAAATGTCTTTTGAAAACTTGTTAAGTTCTCTCAGACATGCAGGTTTCCTCACGATGTTTTCTTTCACCGTAAGGCAAGTGGTAATCATGTTGATTGAAAATGATTCGCACATGAAAATATCAGAAGTGCGAGACCCGGGATTTGAACCCGCTTCACTCGGTTTCCCAAGCGAGCGCGTCACCACTGGGCTACCCTGCCTGACGTCATAATTGAGGGATAATATTGTTGATACTTTACCTCTGATGAGAGCTGGTTCCCTTGATAACAATATATGAACACTTGGAACATCATAGTCAATAGATAAGTACCCATTGATATCAGACGAAAATGGTTACCAGTTGGCTGAAATTTTATTAAAAATATATTACAGATGCATTAGTTAGATATTTCGAAAAATGTATATATCTTTAAAAAAGTTTATTTATAACGTACTGATACAAGTTGGAAAGCAGTAGCGCATATGATTACGAGGGATACAGTAAACTGGGCGAAGATTGGTTCCGAGAAGGTATTCTGCAGCAGGGAAACTGTTTCTAGAGTCTTCTGGTGTCTAATAACACATTTTCTGAAGTGTTTCTGGACCATGGTCTCCTGAACAAAAGTGAACATTAACAACTCCAGGTAAATTTCTAAGAAATTAATTAAAATTCTAAGAATTCTATTGTTAACTGACACGCCGGCATGTCCGCGGTCGTGGAGGGTTTAAATTTTAGATAACGTTTAAAGAACATATTTCCAAATGGAGATTAATACATTATTGTAATCTCTTTAAGAAAATTTGCTTTTTATAGTTTTTAAATTTTACAAGTGGCAACGTACTTTTGGCGCATAGTAAAACTTTATTATAAAAAACTTACCTCAGTAAATCGTCTATTATTGTTGAGAGTTCTAAGAGGAAGTCCTACTAAGCGTAAGCGACATCTGCACTGTGCTATAAGCGTGGTTACCAGGGTATCCTTACTCACATTCAATAGTGCAACAGAGAATGTCGAGAATACCTGGTGCATGTACGTTAGTTCATATGCTGGAGATTTATTTATGTTATATGGGTACCTGGTGAATATAATAATAATATACACTGTTTTTGTAAAGGATAATTGCTATTACATTTTGGATTCAATTTTGATCATGATTTTTTTGTGGCTTTTCTTGAGGAATTTCCATTTAAACTCCTTATTTAATTTTTTTTGGATAGTGTATCTAGGGAGGCAAAGCGTAAAAAGCTGAAGTCGACGTAAGTACGGTTAAAGCTGTACATACAACTGCGACGATATGCTTTTCCCTTGCCTGGACCTTCGAAATCTGATATCAACTATATCTCAATGCGGTACCTTAGCTTTTACTACTTAGCTATATTGACAATTGTCTTACTCCTCAAAAATAGCATGAGAATAGAAATTAAAACAAAATTATAGCTTTACTATACACTTAAAATATATTAAATCAATTTTTATCATACTTACCAAGCTCGTAAAGGCAATTTATCCTTTTCAGCGCTGCCCGCCCATCCCGCACACGTGAATAGAGATAGCAGGTAATAAAATAACTGATGCCATCGTGTCTCGCGGTCACAGCTTGGAAATCACAATTAATATTAGACTTTCCATTATTGATAAGCATTTTATAAGTTAAACTTAAGATCTGCAGGTATGAATAAAAAATCTAGCTTACGTTAGGGTTTTTCTAAAAGAGGTATATGTTAAACATACATGTACGAGTAACTAGGAACAACGTAGAGTTTACCGTCTTTTTAAACCTTGGAAAACTGTGTAAAATAAAATGTTCCGTAGCTGATAAGGGCATTTACAGCTCCGCACAATTCTCAGACCGCAAATTTCAAGATGATTATACCTATTATAACATATTCAGCCTTTCTTAACTCTTCAATACGATGGGTATCATCAGGCCATAGTCCACCACGCTTGCCAAGTGCGGGTTGGCGGACTTCATATGTCTTTCGAAAACTTGCTCGATTCTCTTAGATATGCAGATTTCTTCACGATGTTTTCCGTCACCGTAAGACAAGTGGTAATCATGTTCGAAATGATTCGCACATGAAAATATTAAAGGCGTGAGACCTAGAATTTGAAACCGCTTCTCTCGGCTTACCAAGCGAGCGCGTCATCACTGGGCTACCACTGCCTAAATATTATAATATAGATATATATATAATATATATATATATATATATACTACATTGTATCTACATTGAAATTCTATTATATTTTTTCCATTTTTTTTGCGTGTTAACTTTCCCATTTGATTCCCGATGTTCCGAATGCTTTACAACAATCAGATAATAAACCTAAGAAACACTATACATTAAATTGTTAAACATTTACATACTACCTTTCTATAATATTACGCCCTCTGATACTTTTTTCTGACCTTAGATCTTTATCGCTGTTAGAAATTATTTTTATTATCATCTCTCTTCGTGTTACAATATTTATAAACTTAGTGGTTTGGGCCAAATTCGTAAAGAAGACAAACGCAGTACCAGTCATTAATGGTAAATTCCCCCATATGATGAACAAATCTCCTACTTCAGTTATAAGAAATATTCCTACAAAAATAAAAAATAAATATTATTCATTTTCCTTATTGAGTATATCAATAATAATAATGATTATAAATAAATATGTTATAAATATACTTAATAAAACTCTCAAATGATGGAAATAAATTAATTTCGTTTTAGTTTGTATGTAATAAATGTAATTTTTATCAATAACTCACCCAATAGGAACATAAACCAAAAACAGCCATAACAATTATAAAGCAATAATTTTTTTCTCGTTAAACCTTTTGGAGGCCAGAAACCAGTGAATCTCAGTACTGTAAGAGATAAGCGCAAAGAAAATGAAGAATTTTCTACTAAAATTCCCATAGCTTTTAACAATTCAGTGGATGTACAAGTATGTGACCAAAATGGTAATACGAGTAAAAGCTCGTTTCATTGAATTAACTGTAAAATGGGAATCAGAAATAATTTGACATAAATACCTCTCTCAAATTGTTTGAAATTGTAGTTTTTTTTTCGATTAAGTACAGATTTCAGATGTGCTCAGCTGTTTTACGTAAGTTTTTTTATTATGGTATCTAAGCGTTAGGAGTTAGGACCTAGTGAGAGGATTTAAAAAAAAAAAATATATCATAGTCTAAAATTTGCAAAATGAAAGAAAAGAAAGTAAGAACACTCTTTTATATATTTATTAAAGTTAATAACTCAAATAAACGAGTGCTGTTTTCTTTAGCAAGCTTTATTTTAGTAGTACCGAAAGACTATACTAATGATTACTTAAAGAAATTTGAAATTTATTTCCGAGTTAATTTCATACAAAGAGTATTAAATTTAACAATTGTAAATATAAAATTTTACAAAAGGCTTGTGAACTCTGTTATAATCACAGCTAATTGTCAGTTACGTTCAGCACAATTACGCCATGATTTTAAATATCACCTTTATTTTGTGTGGCTTTTTTGACTAACTTGGAATATATGAGTTGTGTGTTTTATTATTATCGAGCATATAACGTAGCATAACTTATGATAAGCAAGGCTTATGAGTTAAAAATATAAATGGCTGGCAATTCACCATCGCTTCGCTTCGGGTTCGTCCCTAGTGAAAAACAAAAACAAAACTAACCCACGAGAACCGTACATATTTCCGGGATATTAGCCTATGTGCTATTCCAGACTATAATCTATCTCTGTGTCAAATTTCATCCAGATCCGTTCAGCTGTTCTGGCGTGAATGAGTAACAAATATCCATCCATCCATTCGCACAAACTTTGACATTTGTAACATTCGTAGGATTAATAGGTATGGACGCTATTGATACATTCAATTTTTTATATGAAAATGCATTAAAGAGAAAAAAAAGGATTTAAAATACTTAGTTAAAATTAAAAATTGTAAGGGAAAATAAGACAATGAAATTCAATAACAACACTGTATTTTAAAAAATAATTATGACGGAAAGCTAATGTACATAATATGTCGGGTAATAACATAGTTGCAATCAGTAAGGTCACTGGTCGTGTCGAGTGGTCGTCCCACCAGAGTATGAGATTGACAGAAAGAGAGAGTGCACGTTGTGTCTGCGCGTACACGCACTGCACTATAATATCTCCTGCGCAGTTGGCTAGTCTCAATGAGATTGGCTGCCGTGGCCGTAGTCGTTCAGGAGAACATCATATAAATTAAAACAAGTCATCCTCAACATAATAATTGAGGCCTATACATTTAGGTCATTTCAATGAGTGTAAGCATGATATCTCAGCAGTATTTTAATAACGAGTATCTTGCAGATTCCAGGAGACGCTGCAGCATCAGGTCTAGATTACCATATCATGTATCAAGTAACGAGATAACAAGTTTCGACTTGATTAGATCTGTGGAATTTGTTATGTAAGAACAACAAGCAAGAATTGATGTATTGGCCAAATTAATCAGATCCGGATGTCCTTCACTATACTGGTAATTAATGCCGCAGTGTCATCGGTTTTCTTCTCTTATACTCCATGAAAAAGAAGCATTTTGAATCTTCTATTTATCTCTAGCTTGTCAACTTCTTGAGTTAAAACTTCCACTTGTTTTTGTAAGGAAGTTAGCGCAGAGCGATTGTCGTTACGAAAACACCCGAATCTTCGATTACTCATATATATTTTTTATATTTGAGATCTTGTACCAACTGAGAGTGGCTCTCGCTGCGGTATTGCACCGAGGTGATAACGCACAGAGCGATCATCATTATATTTGATATCTTCTAGCAACTGAGAGTGGCTCTCGCTATGGTATTGCCCCGAGGTGATAAGGCACAGAGCGATCCTCGCTACGGACACACTCGAGTGTTCGATTACTTGTATATATTTTTTTTCTATTTATGCTCTTATATACATATATGTTTTAATTTATACATTAAATATATTATTTCTTAAAACTATTTACAATATTGACGACGACTATAATTACATTTTAGTCGTCGCTAACACTTACAGTATATCCACTATTTACCCAGCTATCCATTTGGGTAGTTTAAGTGATGAAAAATTATATGTATGAACTGCAAAAATAACTTTGTAATCCCATAAATCGCATATCTATTTGTATAGGATTACAAAGTTACTTATGCAGCTTGTATACGAGTATCTCAAAAACAGGATTGAAATTACGTGATGTTTGTAAAATGCTCTAAATCGCTTCGGGAAAAGGATAGTACTGCCGTGCCTTTCTTTGCTCGACTTGGCGGGAGCACTGCCGTGCCCCCCGATAATGACATTTCTCGCTTTGCTCGTCATTGGTCATGTTCGTGTGATGTTTTGTAATATCTGACCATATCTGAACATTTATAATATCACGCAGGACAAGACGTTGAGAAGCAGCTTTTCGAGCAACAAAAAATTAATTTGTACGCATAAGTAAAATGCTAAAAAATGAATGAAATCACGTGACAATGTTCAATCCAAAGGTATGAATGAAACAATTTAGTATGAACACGGTAAGATAAAACACAACGTCTTATCGTCATACGAGTATGTCTAAGAAGAAACGCGCAAGCAGTTTGGAGCGCAAAAATGTATTTTGCTTAGCTTGTGATTTATTGCGTAATATTATTTTTAGAAATTAACGTAGTAATAATAAATAGATTTTTTTGTTAATTATGTTAATTCAAAAAATAAATATATATAATGAATGATGGATTATTGGATTTCTAAAAGGTAAGACGGTAGGAATGGTCTTGTATGGACCCTTCGCCACTGCCAATTAGTATCGTTCGGAGTAAAAGAGCTTCTTAATGTTACCAGCTAGATTTTGATGAATAACTCGTGATAGGTAAGACGTTGCATTTTCATGGTTTGTACTACATTTTAGACACTAGTCCAAGTCGACTTTCATTGATAACTGAAGCTAAAAGTGTCGTTGATCGCCTCCTTAACAGAATTCGATGCCTCACTCAAACGAACAATCAACATATGTTAATTTTGAAAAACGGCAATAAATCTCAAAAATAGTCTGTGAAAACCAGTGAAGGTGTCTGAGCTTCAGGTCCATATGTCAAAATTACCATTAAATATGTGAAAAGGCCACCAAATATCTGAAAAAATATATATTAATATAAGTATTTCTGTAGTAATAATAATTACATTTGAGTTACATCTGCCAAGGTGGCCAATATCACTGAGACTCACTAGTTGCATGCAAGTGCACCCTTTATTCTATTATTTTCCACTCATAAATTCCAGTGGTACAATTTGATACGACCACTGAGAGATCTTTGTTTAGATGTCCTTACGTGCTTTTTGGGACAAATTCCGATACCGAGCTATTGCCGACAATTGGAAAGCCTAATAGTTACAGTTTGCTCGACGCGAAACTCAAACCGAAGGCCTCGGATTTGTAGCCTTACATGATAGCCACTAGTTACATGGGACAGTAGTGTGTATATTGAGCTATTGAATAATACGTGACACCACGTTTTGACTTAGCTATACCTTAAGAATATGCACACCTTAAGGACGAGTGGTCTGCCGAGAGTGCACATATCAAGAGGAGAGTAGCTGGTTTTCTGCAGCTTCAACATTCGTAAAAACAGATCCAATTCGTTCCTCAGTGGCCGATACTCTCCGCAGTTACACTTCAGAGTCTGGACGATTATAGACGTACGTTCCATCTAAGTACACAAAATAAATAATGTAATATAAGAAGTAGTTTATTATTTCTTACAAGATATGACAGATAAATGATTTACAACAGTAAAAGTAAGTTCGAATGAATTAATAAAAGAAACTAATTATAACTCTTAAGCAATAAATATTTCTGTTGGTAACAGACCTGAAAATGAGTTCCTTGAAATGGCTCCACAAACAATACTAACGCCATTACATGATTGATAATGTTTATTGACGAATATAGTAATACATTAAGGAATATATCTGTAAATAATTATAAAAAAATAATAATATTATGTAAGATATTAGGTATGCACAGAAAGCACTCTTGTTGGAATAATGCTGGGTGTCGTTATTTCAATTAAGATTATAATCAGGACTTAAATAAATATTCTATAATCACTATCTAAAGAAGTGGGTGTTATTTTAAGATATGGGAGGTGATAGGGAGTTCAAATATATAAAAATTATAACGAAGGAGTCAAAAGCTATGGAGACTTAAAATTAGTACATTTCTATACCTAAATAAGTCATTACAAAAGATAAACATACTTTTAACGAATAGTAAATACCCTTTTTCGTATAAAATTCATATTTTCATAACAATTAATTAAGGCTTTATTGTATTAATACATTGATAATTTCACTAAAAATAATAATTGAAACAAAATAATCTTAAATATTGACATAACTGTTAATTTCTTTTATACGAGTATACCGCTTTCAGGACATAACAGATTATCCATACTAATATTATCAATACTAATATTATAAAGAGGTAAAGTTTGTGAGATTGTGAGTTTTCGACGTTGTAGAGGGTAATCTCTGGATCTACCGAACCGATTTGGTTGAAATTTGGTAATAAGATAGTTTGAGACCCTGGGAAGGATATAGGATACTTCTTATCCCAGAAATCATTCCTTAAGGGCGTGAAAATGAGGATGAAAGTTTGTATGGAGAATCAAGCTAGGGCCGACCCCACCGAAGCGAGCGTCATTAACTAGTCATAGTAGATTTTAAAATAGAAATATGTTATTTTCAATTCATGCATGCATGCATTTACGAGTTTTTATTTGATTTATGTAAAATATTGAGTTATATAATTTATTTACATGGACAAAAAGAATTAAACCATTATTTGATTTTATTGTCTGTGAATATTTTTCAGTGTTTCTAGCGGGTAGTCACAAAATACCGCGAAGTGAGATAGTTTATGTGAATACGATCTGTACTCATTAAACGCGTTTAGGTTCATATTTTTTGCTCTTTTTCATAGTTATTTTTCTTATATTATTTTCCAGTAGTTATTAGTTTTTGTTAATTTTTCTATACGTTCGTTTCTAGTTTTTTGTTTTAATAGTATAAGTTCCATAGTTTTAAGTGTTCTTAGTGTTTTAAGTGTACTCATTTAGTTTATAAACGTAAGTAGACTATTTTTTTAACCAAATGTATTATTTATTTTCGATTAAGTGACAGTCCGACTTCGATAGCGTAGGTTGAGAATTAGTCCGCCTTAGTCTTCTCGTTAAGTCTTATTTATTTCAACCCTGGAACCCCTGCTATAATAAGTGTTTTTTTGTTAATTCGGTGATAGATCTCACTATTTGAAGATTATTTTGGCACTTGGAAATGACATTTTGACATTTCCAAGCGTCAAAATGGCATTAATGTCATAATAATGTATGGAAATGTTGTAACTTTAAGTCTCCATAACTTTTGAGGCTTTCGTTTCCCCAAAATAAATTTTATATATTTGAACTCCCTATTGCCTCCGCTATCTAAAAATACCACCCACTCCTCCAGGGGCCGCGTCCCGTATACTAAGCTGCAGCCACAAATTATTTATACTACATGTTATAAATGTAGAAAAAGGTGGATCGAACGAGGCGAAAAAGTCTTTGCAATTACATTTGCAATTTACCTGAATTTTGAGTCAATCCCATGATTAATCTGTGTAAAAGTTGCACCAAATGAAACATACGGCTTATGAGTATTAATGCCATCAAGAGGCCGTCTGAACTGGTCCATGTTCTAATTATCTCACAGATGTGTCGATAGTAGACAGCTAATTGACGTATCATATACTCTGTTCTCTCTGGTTTATTTCTACCTGTTTAAATGAAAAAGATAAAACTTAATAAGATTCAAATACACAACACGTGACACTAGCAGAATGGATTACGTCTGTCAATACAACTCTAAGCCATAAAGAAAAAAAAGATTCAAATAAATCTATACGCTCACAATGACATCCAGATAAGATTACAAATTACTTCGATCAACAAGACTACTAGATATCGGGTCGGCGTAAGAAATCCGTCTCGGTAAATATAAGCTCACTTGTAAAGTGAGCGTATATTTCGATTAGTTCTATTGAAACACTGCTAGCGTAAACACGTTCTCAATAGGTATTTAAAAGTTGCTAAAATAATGCGTGAGAAGAAATTTTTGAGACGGAGTGTCATATTTTCGGTAAGTGACATGTAGATTAAGTCAATATTTTAAGATTTAACCTAGGAAATAATAAAAATTAATTTTTCAACAATTTTAAATCCGCTACGAACGTTGACCCAGGTCGGCCAATACACCCGCAAACTTAAATAAGTAAAACAGAAACAAAACATAACGATTTAGCTCACACAGCAACAAGGAGAAAAAATGCTTTATGTTATTTTAAATTAAAGGTTGATTTTACAATAAATATTATAGAACTCACGAAATGATCGAGTGTGATGATAATTTGAAGATTTGTGACTTTATTAAAAGGTGCTATGGTGGTGATTAGGTTGAAAATAAAACTATTATAAGACTTTGTCTTAGTTCGTCAGTATACAAATGAAGCCGTATAAATACATATTCGCGCGGACAGAATTTAGCTTTGATTTTGTATGTGACACGTTATCTAGTAGTATTGTTGATTGAAGACAAATTATGATAATGCGGATCTCGCGTACATAAATAATACTAAGAAATAGGTGATTAGAACACATCCGAGATTTGATTCAGTCAGACAGTCAGTCGACTAGTTAAAAGTATGTAAGTCATAAGTAAAAATAACAAGGGCGTGTTAATTAAAAAGGATCGGAAATTACGTATTAAAGTATCAAGCCCCGGGTTTAGAATACTCTATCTCATATATTCTTCATTCTCAATTCGTCTGAGGGGACTGATTTATTCAGCACTATATTGTATTAATTTATTTGACTATTCTATTCTCTTGTTAATGGGTTTAAAACGTGCCATATTTGATCTTATTTATTGATATTTTTAATTTACATTATATTATAAGATGATATGACAGACAACTAAGTCTTACCGAAAACAACTTCATTAGTGAAAATATAGTTATTTTTATTAACATTATTCATATTAATAGCATTGTTCACATCTAATGGACTATCTTCGCTCTTCGAAATCTCCCATGCCACTTTCGGCATTTTTGGATATCTATTCATAGCATACATTCCTATAAATAATGGAATATTTAGAAAATAGTTTTATTGTGTTCTCTAAAGGTATATATAAGATAAATTATATTGTAAAAATCATACTTGGCATATATTTGTTTTCTATGCATGATAAGTGTTGCAAACTTTTGTTTATCATTTTTAGAGTCAGAAGAATTCGAGCTGCGAACGCTACCAGTTGCATTTCAAGTAGAACAATCAAACTTTCTTCTACATAGTAAATAATGAAGTAAGCAGGCCCTAAAACATTTTAAATTACTTTTCAAATTAGGAATTAAGGCTGCACGACTTTATTAGAAAAATAAATGACCTCTCAGATGTATTAAACATTTATTGAAGCTTTTGATGTGATTAATAACCAAAGCCTGTTAAAAGAATTTAGAAGATATCGAATTTTTGGTAGCTTAATTAAAGGGTTTAAATCATATTTCACGAATCTAGAGATGAATGTTATTATTTTCAGATATCAATCGCATATATTTACGACAGCATCCGGAGTACCACTGGGTTCTCAACTAGGCCTGATACTATTTAGGATATTTATCAATGATACAAGATTAATAAAGATGAAAAATATATAATATGTTTTTCATCTTTATTAATGTTTCAAACATTGACAATTTCATATTTTTGCGGTTGTTTAAACATGAAATAAATAAATAGCATAAAGGATTTACAGGTAACGCGACAAGACCTACATAGACTATCGCTATAACAACTTAGTGAATAATCGTGAATAATTAACTATATTGTTTCTTTGTTATTTAACCGCTATTATTATAGCCGTATATACTAAGAACTAGAACTAGTTGGTCTGAATCTTCCAATTAAAATATAAAAATATCCCGGTGAAGCTTCCTTACAGCCAACTATTATTCCTGAAATATCCAAAAATGAATAAAATACTCAACTAATGTGGCTATTGACTCAAATACGTCTTTCAACTGGGAATTTTTGAGACACAGAAAATATTACTTTATGAAGCTAAGAGATACACCGGGTGGTAGTGGATTGCTCCTGGTATTTCTCTGAAAACAGAGTTGAACGCGAGAGCAATCTTCTGATTCTCGTGAACAACAGGATGACGTCTGCCTGAGTATACCAATCATAAGTCGAAGCGCCTCAATTTATGGACGGGGAAGTATTACTTTGAGTTTTAGTGGGTAGAAATGGCTTAACTAGCCGTAATAAGTACGTTTTGATATAATGCTATAATGATAATATATACGTACAATCAATTTTATACTCACATGTGTTTTTTGATATTACAAATAGATATGTAATGATGTCTATAAAATAAATGATAAAACTTCCGAAAATAAATCCAAATATAAGCCAAAATGTTACATGATCTTTCGGAATGGCTCCTATAAAGGGGATCTTCTTATTAATCTGAAATTTTAAAGAATTTTAATAAGAATTTAATTCTTCTTTTAAAAAACTTTATATGAGTGATTAATGGTGTATTAATCAAGGCCTTAATTAATTCCAAAACAGGCAAAATTCTCTTAATACGTCCATGATCGACGGGAATAGACGATAAATAAAAATAACACTAAAAACTATTTTTAAAACAAGCTATTATAAGGTAATTTGCTTCTTTTCAGCACATTAAAATAATTAAAATTTATCGTACTTCGTCGGGAACCAATTGTAGATAGATATTTAGGAATAATATTATATTATTTAGTAACTGAGACAACATGTCAAATTTCAAGTCTTTAAGACTGGTGACGAAGTGGTTTTAACTCAATTTTGCCAGACTTGACCCATATAAACATACCAACAAACGAATATTGCATAAATAAAATCTTGTAAAAATACCTCTTCTAGCTCTTTAAGTGATTGAGCCATATGCCGCATCCTACCCTGAGCAGTGTACGCTCCGAGTAACACAAGCGTCACGGTGACTAAGTTACGGATAACACGTATGATGTCTTGCGCTAACAATGAAGTTTCGTGCTTCATTAGATAGATACAGGTCCCCGTTGTGAAGTAAACACCTGAAAATTGTCACTATCGACATTATTCAAATAAAGTATTTCTTATTTGCATGGTTACTTTCGCTGATTATGATCTGATTTTTTTTACTAGTGACTTACTCTCGCATCGCTGGGCTTACGGTTTTAATAGATAAAAATAGTAATTGCGATTGCACCATTGGAGATCTTTTTTGTAAGCCATTTTAAGACTTACAACTTCCTAATAAATTGTTTGGATTTATCTCTAAAGGTTTAGACAACGTTAGCCATGTAAATTTTAAAGGACGACTCTGAAGAACCGTTTGTTTTATTTTCCCATGCGATTTTTCCTGTAGTAAAAGGAACCTCAAATTTTGACCCGAGTTATATATTTATATCACTCCACAAAATTTAGTTAAAATCGGTTCAAAACTTTTTGCTTGAAAAGCATACAGATAGACCAATCGTAATTCGTTTATTTTTAAGACAAAAAATATATTGAAAACCTGAAGTTTAATGATTTTAATACCAGGTAACCTAAAAATAATTTAAATTACTCACTAATAAAAGTAACTAGTACGAATCCATACACAATTAATGCTTTCGAGACTCGAAGTCTCGATCCTCTTGGATAAGGAGCTATACCCATCACACGAGATAGTCTCAAAACCAAACCCACAGCGCCACTCTCCATAGCGAAGTGATAAAAAGATACTAAAAAGTAAGTAAAATATGAGCAGACCAATATAGTTTATTGAAGAAGTGAAATTGGGCTAACAGTGATATAATCTTGTGATAAATGATCAACTCTGTCCACAACATCAATTAATCATACGTAATTATTTACAAATTATTGATTTATTTGATACTAGCGACTCACCCTCGCTTTGCTCGGGTTCATCCTTAACTTGCTTCCCAATACAAACTTTCATCCCCACTTTCACCCCCTTAAGGGATAATTTCCGGGACAAAAAGTATCCTACGAGTATGTCCTCCCTAGGGTCTCAAACGATCTTTGTACCGAATTTCATCTAAATCGGTTCAGTAGATCCAGAGATTACCCCCTACAACGTCACAAACTTTACCTCTTTATAATATTAGTATAGATTAAACATTAGCTAATGGTTGTTGCATATTTATTTAGTGACATACATCACTTCTGATTGTATTGGAATGCTCAGAAAGGACCAGTTGAATCTTCACTTATTTATTCATATTTCATAGTTCAAACTAATTTGTACAATGAAAAATAACCTTTGTATGAAATGAATCAAAATCTCAACAATAATTTGTTCTCTAGACAGGTGTTACTAAGCAGATAGACAAATTGCCCAAAAAAAAGCTTAGCTTACAATATATTTTATATCTGAGGGTAACTCACACTAGGCAAAATCTGTATCGTGAGTACCACAATTTGATTTACAAATGAAATATTGTTGCTCGGTTAACAATGCTAGTAAAAGTTATATTATTATGACAAAGAAATATGTAAAAATAAAAGTATTGCTTGTTTCATTTTACATTTACAATAAGTGCATGAAAAAAAAAGAAAAAAACAAAAGCTTAATTAATATGAATATAATATCTACACAGTTGCACAGTTTAGATAATTAAAGAAGCCCATTACGATATATCATAAATAATTTTTTCATGTTCATCATTCATTTTATGTTAAAGTAGCGAGCCCAGACATCACTTTTGTCTTAGTTTTCTTAAATGAGCAATATTTAATATCACAAAAACCGACAACTCTGTTATATATTAATGTGTCAATATATGGACCAAAACGTTTAGCAAAACACGAACTTACATTCGGTAAAGGAATCTTAAAATCTTAACGGGCTAGTAAATTCTTGTACACCGGGGACAAAATAACGCTTTTATGAACTTTGAGAGTTACATTTAATATAAACAATTGGCGCACACTTAATACTTTACTGTCCTTGTAAATTTCAGATGTAGGATACATAAAAGGTACTTTGAGCATTGTCTTAAGCATGGATCTTTGGGCTCTTTCTAACTGTATCATATGTGATTTTGCAGCAGCACCCCAAACCGTCAATCCATATGTTATGATGGATTGGCGCAATGCAAAATACACAGATCGTAAGAGGTCTACTGATGCTGTGTTACGAAGTAATCTCATGACGTGAATAATCTTGATAATGATTTTATATGTTCTTTAAAAGTCATATGTTGATCGATAAGAATTCCTAAGTATTTCACTTTATCTACTTTATTTAGTGTATAACAATTACATTGATCTTGGTAACTGAGATTACGTGTGTGTGTGTTTTTTTTTATGTTTGTTATCTCAGGACTCCGTCATTTATTAACCGATTTGGTCGATTTTTGTGTTGTTCGATAGTGTATACTTCCAGATTGGTCCCATTTAAATTTCAAAAAAAAATACCACCCCTAAGGGTGGAAAAATAGCTAATGATAAATTTAACCTACTTCTAATTGTCATATTGACTTTGCAAGTGTTTATATTTCCGTTGATAGTACAGTGGTTCGGTATTGTTGACCTGATCTGATGGTAAGGCTAGAAGGTGGATAGGTGGAACTCTTCAACGGCTAATAGTAGATACTTTGAGTTTGGGCTTATTTTGTTTGATTTGACAAGCCTAACACGTTAGAATTCTTACTTTGCTACTACTGTCTACACTAAAAATTGAAAAATAAAAACTTTTTAACAAAAAAATAAAGACCGACTTCAAACAAAAGCACTTAAAAGTAAAAAATAACTGATTGGTAGTTTTCATTTACTATACATACCTAATTAAATATTTTCGAGGTCGGTGTGCTTTGGCTAAGTAATTAAAACCTACCTATTAAATACATACCTAATCAAATATTTTCTAAATCGGTGCCAGCCCATACAAAGCAAAGCAATAATAAAAGCAAAATTATATATATATATATATTGGCCTTATATATATATATATATATATATATATATTATTATATATATATATTATAAGTTTAGTTATTGAATCTTTCTGTATAGTAAGTCTCAGTAACAGCCCGGAGTTG